AGTAAGCAAAAGTATTTTGAACTGACTAGTGGAATGTAAGAACTCTGTCCCTGACTGTTGGAATTAGCCGCATAGTCGCTCATACGTGGGACGAGTCTGTCGGTTCAGTTCGCTTAGTGAATGTTGAACAGAGGCCTATGCACTCACTCAAGGGCCACGTGCCATTCTGACAGAGCACCTCACCTCTTGGCTCCTCTCTCCTCATATTAATATCTACGCTTATATTTTTTTTTCAGAGACGTAGTTTTAGGTCCGAGAAGGATGCAAGGTTAAAGAACAGAAAGTGGCTCGACCTTTCTTCTGCATGTAGCTCAAAGGAGAGATGGAGCCAACTGATACTGTATTTTTTCATGGATTTTATGAACGTTTAAGCATAGGCCTTAATGGTGTTGTCAAATTAGCAAAATTACGTTTAACCCTTACCTACAATTTGGATTTCACCAATGTTATGCTTCAGAATTTTATAACACCGCCATATTATATTTCAAGTTAATGCTATGCAGGTGTATTTGTCGGCGAGCGATGTGAAAGTACTGCTAGGACCTTTATCGTGTGGATTTCTGTTTTCAGACGTGTTAGAGAGATGTCGGACACAATAGGGGCGTTTTTGTGTGTTTATGCAAGCAGTAGCACTCGATACATGTTTCAGTTCCTCTGCAGGGATCACTTAGTGTGACTGTCAGGGGGGGACTAATCTGGTCTATTGACCTCCAGCACATCTTGTCCACACTTTGCCTGAGGCATGATAGAAAGTACACAGGACTCCAGAGCTGCTCCTCATCTCGGAAAAGAAATAGAAAAAAACACCAGCAAAGCTGTCATCTCACCCAAAGGGGGTTGTGATGGTTTGTTTCTCTTTAATGTTTTGTTGACCTTTTGGGACACTGTCCATCTCACTTGGGATCATTGGACGTGATTGTGTTTGTTTCTGTCCACTTCACTTTGTAGAATCACATCCACATCACCTGTCACCTTGCATCCACAAAAATCTCTCACTGTAAAAATGTTCATTGAATGTCTTTGATGTCTTTTTGTTTTCATCCCCCCTCAACACTTACTTTGTAGTGGAAGCACACACACAAGTCCATCTTTTCTTCCCCGTCATCAAGTCTGTTTAGCGCCACCTGCCGTACTTTTGTCTGCTTCAGCTTTGGATTAAAAATACATAAAAACAAGAAACCTGCTCTGTCAATTCCTTTTTTTTTTTTTTTTTTAAACTCAGTTACTTTGACACAGAGATGACACTGTTTTATACAAGGCACTTACTAAATATGAAGTTTTTAATGATGTAAGAATGATGAGAGCTGTAGTAGAGTCCATATCTCTTTAGGTTAAGCTTTGCCATTAAATGTCTAAACAAAGACAAAGTCATCATGAAAGGATCTTTTTCAGTTATTTTGGATCTGTTGCCAGGAAAAAACTAACTACTTCGGTCATTTAAGTAGTATTTTATTTTTAGTATAATTAAATATCACAATTAAATGAAAAAGGAACTTGTACAATTAGATTTTTTTTTTTGTCAAACACTTTGGCATTTATGACTCAGGTTGTTTGACAGGCTCAAGACTTGTGGCTTTGAAACAGTGCAAAAACCAAACTTGTGACAAACAGACTGGCGAGCACGAGGGCCCCACTGGAATATACAAATTTGCGTAGCAAAACAGCACTGTCATTGAGTCAACACTGACATTTGCCAACACTGGGGTGTTGAGAGCAGCTTTCCGCCAAAGCACGAGGTCATTTTTTTCTCCAGGTATGAGGCTGCTGTAGGCACTCGGCTTCCAGCTCTGAGTATGTTGAAACCTACAGTCATTTTTCTTATCTCCAAGAGTCTGTCGGGTAAGTGAGAAAGGGTTTCAACGGGGCCACGGGGGAGTTTCTCATCATAGATGTCAAGTCAGTTTTCCCCCCTCACCCTATAAAACCTCAGGACACTCACCCTGTATGCCCGTCAGAGAGAGGAGGGGAGACCCTTTAGCAATTTATGTCTGGGAGACATATGAGGTTTCTCTGGGTTGGAAACTGAAACGTGCCTGCTTGAAGGTGCCTGCATGTCACTACTATGTCTGAGGAGGAGGGTGAAGGGTGGAAGCTTCTCAGCTGAGGAGGTGACACAGCAGTGAGTTCTTTGAAGTGGCATGCCAACCTCATTTTCTCACACATACACATCCTCTGAGACTAGACAAGAAGCTGAATGACCTGTCCCAGACAGAAGATGTAGCAAAAGCGAGAGGCCACACATTACCTCAGCAAGAAACGTGATCAAATGGAAAGCCTTTTTTTTTTTTTTTTTAACATGTACAGCACAACTGTCTTATGTGTCATGTGTCCTGGAAGTCTGATCACACTTTATTGTCAGGCATAGCGCTTGGTATATGTGAGGGATGTGGTTACTTTGATTTTTCTATTCGTTGCTGATTTTTTTGAAAAACATGTTTTCATCCTAGAAACAATTTCCTCATTGAATCTGAGAAAGTTGATGCATATCAGCATACGCCTTTGACACAAAAGTTCTTACCTTTTCATGTAAGAACATTTTACTGTTACAGAATAATGAGTTGGCCTCAATGACTGAGATATATGTTTGTCTCCTCTTTTTTTAAGTGTATTTTATTAAATAACAAAAATAACAGACATAATATCCTCTATAAAGCAAAGCTTTAAAAGAGACGCTCATTATGCAAACTCTTGTCAAACAGTCAAAAACATCTATTATGTGACAAATATTCTCTACACCATATTTAGAGTGCTGCTTGTTAAGCAATAATATAGATGACTTCTTTTTTGAGTGGTTACTTCTGTTTACATATTTTGTTTCACCCGCGTCCTTTTCCTGTAAACGGCGGAAATTGAACTAAAAGTGGTGCGCTAAACCTAGACGAGAGGAAAAATCTGTGCAACACCCGCCTCAGGTTTGACTTGTGCAGTGATGATACACATCACAGCTCACATTACAAAGATTGTGTCACTGTTCCAAAGTGGTGATTCTAAAAATGTACATTCCTATATGCTGATGACACTTTGATCTAATCTAATCTTGTAATTGACTCACCCCATGTGCGTATATAAGTCTTCTCATACTTCACCTTTTCATGCAAGATTATGCATCAGGATCTTTTTTGACAACTATTGCAATTTCTAATTTCGTTTTCATGTGGGTGTCTTTTTTTATGACTAACATGTACGTATAGTGACTATTTCTATTATACACATGCTAACAGCTACAGGAAAATATAATAAAAACAAGGAAAAATAACATTTATAATTATCTTTTCTTAATTAAAGAAAAGGCACACACCATAGTAAGGGTTATTATGAAATCTATAGAGGCTAGCACTGTGGGGGTTAGAAATGTGACTCTGAACATGTCTATTAAGATTTCATGTGGACAGAAGAATTTTTCGCCGCATTTTACTGTAAATAAATCCCCCAGCCTTCTCTCTCTATTTATTTATGTATTTATTTGTTTATTTTGACAGGGACAGTGTACAGCCAATTAGCTGCACCAGAGTTAGCTATAAGCTAATTTACATCTGTAGTCCCTGAGAGTTAACTTTTCACTCCACCTCATGTGAGGCCATTCAGAAAAACTACGAATACTTTTGACTACCTTCAAGATGTTGGACAACATTTAGCACAAGCTAGATCTGTCCAAGCATAAAATTATTAGCATCTTTTTTGATGACATAAAGTAAACTTATTATTTGTTGAGAGTTATCGGGAGATATGTTATTGCTAGGATACATAGCTTTGTTTTCCAAAGTTGCCACAAAATATATATTTTTTAAATGTTAAATATATATATAAGTCTCTTCTTTTAAATACATATTTTTTTCCTTTTTTTGTCTACATCGCTTTGGATAAAAATGTCTGCTAAGCGAATTGTAGAATTGTAAATGTAGTCCAAGTTTAGCCCCCTCTAGTTTGGACATGCACACCAAGTCTTGACCTGGGACTAGCAGACTAATGCTGTAGGCCCCAATAAACAGACCTTTTGGTTATGGGGAATTTGAGATATCTTGACTATCAAGTGGAAAGTGTTGTTACCACTGTTGACTATTTATTGTACTCATTATGAACAGTGATTTGACATTTAGCCTCAGAAGCTAAACTGTTAATGATCAATTGGTTGAAGGTAATAAAGATCAGCTTTGTCCTCCATGTTTTTCTCACCTCTTCTCTTAACCATTCACCTCTGAAGAGAAGCACCTTGTTATCTCCATGACAGCTAGTCATGATCTGAATAGTCCATATTGGTTATGTGATTAATCCTCAAGGAAACAGCGTGCAACGTTATTTGAGATAGAATAGTCATGCTTCATTGGCTAACAGTTGTGAATGATACTTTTTGAATAATGGTAGTCAATGCTGGAGTAATACTACCAGATCATCCCACGGTACTTAGCATGTGGCTGATGAAGTAGTTTCGGCGCAGAGAGCTGAATCAAGACCGTAAATCAGTCAAGTCAGGAACACTTTGCTGTCAGAGTAGCACACACACTGGTTTGCAATATGTACTACATTCAGTATATACAGATGGTTAAATAGGATGCAGAACATATAGGTTTGTGTCTTGTCTGTTAATGCATTAATTCCACTTCATGACAAATTCCCTCTCTGAAAAGAAAGTGATAAACCTCTCAATGCAGGTAATATTTTTTTTTAACTTCTCTATTTTACTGTTTTATGATTTATGATGATGCATGATGTGTGGAAGTGAGATTGCTTATGCATGCATGTGATAGGGTGTCTGCAATTGTGTGCATATGGCATGAGGGTGAAGCTGGCTAGTTACAGTTACTGTAAGTAAAGATATAGCAGGGCTGCTGGTAAGTGATCAAATGGGTCATGTTTGAGGTTAGTGCATCAGCCTGTTGACTTTACACTCGAGTGGTTCCCCACATAAAGACTGCAGCACTGCAGGATGTTATATGTTTTTACACATTCTACACATTCCTAAATGATGGTACAGTAAGAATACACGATCTGTAGCAGCCATATAAGGAGTCAAATTAGTCATTTATTTTAAGAACAATAAACAGCATAAATACAAAAAATACATAATTTAAGATGTTTGATACAAAAATAAATATTCTCTTCATTGACAGTTTGTAGGACTTTTGTTGGACTCAATATGGTCAACACAGAAAAAATTGTCCCCAGGACAAAAAAGTAAAACAACTGTCAGACCAACAGAACTCAGTTCAACATGAAATAAGTAAAACAACAGCAATGAAAATAACGGACTGTCTGCACAAGAGTGCATGATTTAGTTGACTATTTTTCTTATTCCTCAGAGGAACAAGGTCACATTTTTGATCAGGGTCAACACTTCATGAAGAGGTCTCGAGGTTTCTGTGTCGTTTAGAAGCCAGGTATGCTTCAATGTAGTTAAACAGCAGGTCCAGCTCCCCCATGGCCTTATACAGACCTTTACTCTCCATCTGTGGACATACATGTTTCAGATTATTCACATATCCCCACACATCTAAAATCTACATCTTTCACCATAAAGGATGACATTGTGGAACTTACCTGAGTGTAGGTAGAGTTCAGATGTTTGATGTCAAACTGTGTCTTGCATGAGAAGTAATGTCTCTGTAAGAAGAAAATCAGACAGCTTTAATATTTTTCACAGGATCAACCTTTTGCCTCACCCTCCCTAAAGTTTCATTTGGCATTTGTGTCATAGCAGAGGTTATAACAGGGTAAGGAAACTGGTGCACGGTTTTGCAAGCTGCTGTAGTTTATGTACCACTGACTAATGCAATATTATGGGGAACTCGTTTGGACTCTGTCTGCAGTGGTCAGCCATTGACCTCATGGGAATATTTTGACACTTTTTGGAAGAAGTCCAATCCAGAGCAATGGCTTCAGTGATCTGGCTGTGGAAAACCTTAGCTAGAGTTTAACATTTTAAATTAAAGTCTGTTTGGACCAAAAGAAGCTAATGTTGTTGTTTTTTTTTTTAATTCAGATTTTATTTTTTTAACTTGAAGGTCCCATTTCAATTTATACAGATAATTTCCTTTCTTAATATTCTAGAGTTTAACGATTTTACTCGAGGACAACAAAAATCGTCTTGTCACCAAATGAAACGTGGACAAATACACGGATCTAACTCTACCACTGCGTGTATTGACATCTTTAACCTCCCGTAGGCGTAAACACGTGTTTCGGCTACTTACACATTTCGTGACATCACCCTTGAGAGCGTCGAAGATCTGCTGTATCGACTCCATGTGCGGCTTCAAGCCCCTGGTCTCGTCTGTCACTCCGGCCAGAGCTGTCGGCAAAACCGTGCCGAGATAAAAGTCCAGGATGCTGTTTATGGCGTGACAGGCGAACTCGCTCTGACAGGGGGGGAGGAGGAAGAAACCAACCACATTAATTGATGTCCTTAAACCCTTTAGTGTCTCACTAAAGGCTCATCTAATTCAAGCTGAAAAGTATCTACTTGGCTCCAGTATTATTTGTTTCTTACTTTGAAAGAGTCCTCCACGCTCTGGTCCAGCAGCGCTTCGTCGAGGTCGTCGTTTGCTTCCTAAAACAGAAATGTCAGGCTCAGTATGATGTGACGCTGACAGAGCAGTGGTGACATGCAGCATCACATGCAGGCCATATGATGCTGCACTTCGGTAAATATTTTTTAGTTTTACTCACAAAGAAATCTCGGATCTGTGAGTAGTCCTGTCGGAGCTTCCTTAGCCGGACAGGGAAGTTCTCCACGAAACGACAGCACTGGTTATTGCACATGGGACTGCAAGACATAGTGCTGAAGAAAGACAGAAGGAGCAGAATGGACAGGAGGAGAGACAGAGGAGTCATAGTTGCTTGAAGTCTTCAGATGAGAGGAGCCTACAGTTCCTTGGTGAAGATGCTGCTGCAGGATTCTTGCGGAGATAAGTGCACATATTTTGGGCTCATGTAGTGTCTTCATTTATAGCCAAATTGGGACAGATATCTGTAAGGGAGGAGACTGCAGAGAAATGGTTAAACATGCTTGTTACATGTGGGGGAAATTTTTTTCCAGAGTCATGCATATGGGGCTGCTCCTCCCATGAGGCTGGTATTATTGATAGATCTCACCATCTTTTACTCTCAAAGAAATAATTATGACGCAGCATCAGTGGAATTTTGTTATGATGTCATTTTTTTTTTTTTTTTTTTAAATGTGCATTTGTGTCTGTTAAGTTAAGGTACCAAAATATTATGCATTAAATACATGTTTTATTTCTGCATTTTATTACTCATACTACTATCATTTTTGTACTATTTCTTGTATTTATATTATCAAATCAAATCAAGTTTATTTGTATAGCACATATAAAAACAGCTTCATCTGACCAAAGTGCTTTACAGGCAATGCGTAAAAGCAAGAAATAAAAAATAATCTATACATATGTACATACATACATATACATGTACATACACGTACATATACATAATACACACACACAAACATATATATGCAGATACATATATACATGTAGCACACATACATGTCACAAACACATACATACCCTCATACCTACATGCACATGCATACATACAGATACATACCTAAGCTAAATATATGGGATCTGTTTCAACTTGTTTTAAATGCCAGGGAAAAGAGGTGAGTTTTGATTTGAATGGATTTAACACGTTGATTTGTCTGATGGAGGGAGGCAGTTGATTCCACGGACAGGGGCCAGCCCATATTAGTATGACAACTACAGCCAGAAGTTCCATATTAGATTTATTGCCCTTATTCACTGAACTAGATGAGATATAGTCATCCTAATAGATTCTTAGGCGCAAAAGTTTCTGTGAATTTACGTGACGTGCAATGAATCACGTTTTATTATTCCTCGTATGCATAATAACAGAGATAATAGTACCACCTAGGTGGAAATGATATGCAGTTGTGGTTTGAATTTGACGACACTTTGGATTCCCTGTGTCAGACATGCGTAATATGACTGACAATACTGTCACAGCTGACTTTACTCATCTCTGCTGGTAGCTCTCGGTAGGTGCTCTCAGTAGGTGTCTTCCTGTGTCATGAGGTTTGCACATTCGTGGGCAAATAAAAACGAACTTGAGGATAAACTGCATAGAGAAGTGCTTTGGGACTCGTAAGGGGTGTTTTCCCTTCAGTACTTTTCTGTTATGGAATGTCCACTTAACCCATTTTTGTTTGGCAACACTGGTATTTTGAAAGTATTACATTTAGAATCATTCCCGATGTGATGTTTTGCACATGATGAAGACTTTACAATCCGTACAAATAAAGTTCACGACGATCAGTCATGGGCCAAGAAGTTGAAGTTCATTTACTGGATGAAGCTTTTATCATGCTGAGGATGACACAGTGTTTTCTTTATTAAAGTTAATAATTTACATAAAAAGCTTATAGACGTGAAAGAAAAGCATAAAATACAATAAACTGTAAGATGTTTTTTATTCAATCAATGTGTAATGATCTGATGATAAGAATTTCATTATTCATCATTAGCTATCTATAACACATGACAGGCATTTTTCTCATATTTACCATAGCAACAAATATTTTTTTATTATTATTGCTTTGTAACGTCATGCTCTTTTGAATGCAACATTAATTCTTTCAAGGGTTCAAGGTTCAAGGTTGTCTTTATTATCCCTGCGAGAGGGCAATTTGTTTTGCAGTTAGCATTAAAACACACACACACATACATACGTACAGCCCCAAATGAGCAAACAACATAGAAAGGACAATAAATAAATACAATAGATAAGAAACACAACACACAGTTAGTGGTTTAAAAAGGTGATGGCAGCAGGAACAAATGAGTTTCTCAACCTCTTTGTCCTGCATGCTGGCAGGCTGAATCTGCGGTCTGACGGCAGCAACTTAAAGTCCTTAGACAAAGGATGACTTTGCTCTGCCAAGATTGACTGAGCTTTCTTAAGACACCTTGTTTTATATGAATGAGAAAGGTCAGAAAGGGACGATCCTGTGATTCTGACACACAGTTTAACAATGATCTGCATTTTGTTGCGGTTTTTGATGCTGAGTGATCCGTACCAGGTCACCATGCAGAATATTAAAACTAATTCAATAAAACAGGAATAAAACATCTTCATGGAAGTGCTGTCAACATTCAAATTCCGAAGCTTCCTCAGAAAGTGCACACGCTGATGAGCTTTTTTGCAGACAGCTTCAGTTTGGAGCTCGAAGGTGAGTTTGTCATCGATGATAGTCCCCAGGTACTTGCACTGGTGCACCACCTCAACAGCCTGGTTGTTAATAAAAACAGGGGAAATGACAAAGGGATTTTTCCTGAAATCTACTGTCGTTTCTTTAGTCTTTAGGACATTCATGTCCAGGAAGGATGACCTGCACCAGTCTGTGAATTCACTCATATCAGGGCCTTTAGTTTCTATTTAACAAAAACTCCCTTCATGCTGCATATCCATTTATACTGTGATTTTTGTGTTAATCAAAACAACTCCTGCCCTTCACCTTTGTTATTTTGTGGTTGCATGATACATTCTTTGGCCTTGTCTGTTGGGATTTTAGATGTGGCAATATAATGACAGAGTCCACGAGTCTGCTTTTATTCCTCTGACGGAGTTTCTTTCTTTCATTTTTTTTTCTCTTTCGAAAAGTTGCTAGTTAGTTGTTCCCTTTTGTACCCAACAGTGAATCAAACCCATTGACAGGAAGTGACCAGATAAACTGATGATAGACCTTCTATGACTTCATATTCTCTGAGAGACGTTATATACATAGATTATTTCTACCTGTGACACACAACAAAGTGTATAATAATTCAAATTGTTTTACATAAACTCAGTACATTTTCAAGCTATAATTAAATTTGCTTCTCTTGTTAGAGTTTGCAGAAGTATATAATTCAGAGAGAAGAAGAAGCATCAAATTATTGTTTCTTGTGCCTAGTAATACTGTCATGCCCTTTTGAACTTGACACTTAAATGTGTTGATGTAGAGGATCCATGTATCAGTGAGTGTAGATAGTGTAGATCCCCTTCGTGTTCACATATTAAATCAGTCCAATCTTGACTTTAATCACTTTGTCTTTTGCTGAGTAATACACAGCAAACGTCGTCTGCTTTTGAGATGATCATGTGCTAGTGTGGTGATGCAGTCTCATTCTCGAAACTCACCATCTGAGGTTGTCAACAGCGATCAGAGCCTGCAGTCAGAGATGCTGCACCTAAGCGTGAATTACAGTGCATTGAAAGAAATCGTCAGAAAAATTGTTTTGGTGGGGTGATGGTGGCCTCGCCTTCCCCACATGTCATTCTTCACTTTCTCTACCCAATGTCCTACTCTGTCCTGTGTCCTCTCAGGTAAAGACATAAAACATAGATTGTTTTGTGGCACCATTGGCCGAGTGGTAAGTTTGCACTGTAGGGCTGTAGTGCTACAAGTGTCATGTCTATCTTCTTTTAAAAACACATTTTTATGGTAAGGCCTTCTTATGATCCTTGTTTCATCCATAATGTTTTATTTGTTTTACTGTTAACTTTAGCCAATCTTTGTCTCGGTTGTTTCTCTTTTCTCTGTTCATTGGATGATTGCTGCACTGTTGTTTTATTTTTCATGCTTTTTTAATAGGGTTTTATTGTTGTGTATTTGACTGTTGGGATTTTTCTTTTTTCTTTAAAGCACTTTGTGACATTTGTTTTGATAAGTGCTTTATAAATAAACTTTATTATTATTATTATTATTATTATAAGTGGCCCATGCTCTAATCCGACCTGTGGTTCTTGTGGTTCCCGCATGTCATTCCCCACTCACTCTCCCGCTCAATTTCCGACTTTAATCCGCTGTCCTGTCGCTCCAATCAAGGAACGAAAGAGCCCAAAAATAAATGTGAAAAAGAGATATTGTTTTTGTTTCTGCAAGTCTTCGTTCGGCTTTGCAAGATGAGCTGCAAAATGTGCCTTAACACATTTCTTTCACTTACGCCTTTAGAGGAAATCTGTCTGTCTCAGCAAACAGGTTCACCGCATTATTCTTTCACTTTTACACAAGCTGTCGGCCTGATGTTTTTCTTTGTGTACATAGGTATAGCTTCATCCCTGAACATTTTTTTCAGTTTCTGTTTATGTCATGTATATATATATATATATATATATATATATATATATATATATATATATATATATAAATATATAGTAGATTAATTTCAGTTAAACATTCAAGCCGTAGCTTTTTAGAGTTTTGCAATAAGGTTAAAAAAGAGGAAACTATCAGAGATGTTCATGAAGTGTCTAAAGGATATTACAACAGGGTGACAGTGCCCTTCCCTATCACTCACAAAGACTCAACCATGCATCACAGCAGATATTAGGTGGGCGGAAGCCCATTATGAGGATTGAGCATACCGGAAGAGCCATAATTCTTGGGAGTTTCATCCGTGTTTCCTGAGATTGACAGAGAACATTCTTCTTTGTAGCCAGACTTCATCACAATTCACCTATAGGGCAAATGTGAACTATCTTCTGGTTGGCATGTCACTTCACCCTGTAGATCTGATTAACTGCATGTCTGTGCTAGGACCTTAAACTGAAACCTGCACATTTAAAATATTACCTGTGAATGTTAAGTCCAATAAGTTCAAAAGAGTATTTCTCAGAAACCTTATAACTTCTGCAGACGTGGGCAGGCTACATTAGATGAATGCATCGTCATAAACCTGAAACTAAAGTAGCATTGCCATTTTGCTGGCCAAGCATCTTTTGAGGAGGAGATGAAACTTCAACACTTCCTTTGTACACTGTTTAAAATTTGACCTGGAAATTGTCAGTTATGTAAGATTAAAAACTCCTCAGCTTGATTGATACACTAATAGAATGATTGTTTGCTGCCAAAATTATGAAACTTAATTCGCCAAACTGTTTTGATTCACGGTCAGATGCAAGTGCGCAAGTGCGCAAGTGCGC